ACTTCTCGACATCTGTCGACGACTCCTCGACCCCCGATGACGACTACCCGACAATTGAAGACGACTTTTCGACACCTGTCGGCGACTCCTCGATACATGACGACGACTACTCGACACCTATCGACGACTTCTCGACATCTGGTGACGACTCTAGTACACATGACGGTGACTCCTCGACACTTGACGAGACTCCTCGAGCCTTACAACAGCTCCTCGATCCCGTGACAATAGATTTCTCGACAGCTTGTGGACGACTGCTCGACAGGCTACGTTAGCGTCGGAACAGAGCACGCCAGAACGGTCATCACATTTTCCAAATAGCTTGGACGCAGAGCACCGCTGAACACCACCAGCACGAACGGCTTCACCTCCGTCACCAGGAACAAGACGGCCAGCACGGCCGCGTCTTTGCTGTCCATCTCAATGCTGGTCATGAACGGCAGGGGCTTGCCGCTGGTGGAGACCATGACGGCAATGCGGGAGGCCACACTCACCACCAGCGCGGCCATGTGCGAGCATGACGACATCCACGTGATGACGTCAACGCGCGAGAACAGCGGCTGGGCGATCGGGGTGACGCGCTGCCGAGGGGCGGCCGGGGCCTCCGAGCGCGCCGGGCCGGCGACAGAGAACACTGCCAAGCTGGCTTGCGTGCCGCTGAGCTGTTTACAGGTCGTGCTGGTATGCTGCTGGCTGTTCTGTACTGTCCGGCTAGGACAATGGGTCGGACTTGCTCTCTGCTGATTATCCAGAGCTGTGTTGGTCTGACCGCCCTGCTTCGTGTTGGTGTGCTGCGGACTGCTTTGATCCGCGCTGGCCTCCTTCTGGCTGTTGTGAGTCGCCTCGGATCTGCTACGCTCCAGGCGCCGGACTGCCGCGTTGTCGCTGACGTCACCTTGATCCTTATTGATGAGGCTCAGAACGCTTAGTTGCTGCAGTTTCCCAGATCTTTTATAAGATCTATTTGTTTTCGGGGTCTGATGACCAACCCGATGTCCCAACATCGCAGCTCCATGGTCATCTGGTGTAGTCGAATGACCGCTTGGCCCGGCTCCCGTGCCTTGCAGTCCCGTCACACGGGCGTCCGGCTTAGTTCCTCCGTGTTTCGGTCCGATCCCACTACCGTTCGGTCCGGTCCCCCCACCGTTTGGTCCGTCCCGGCGCTGGTCGGCGCCCAGCGTGCCGGGCTGCGTCACGGGCCCTCCGACTCTGTCTCCCTCCGGGGCGGAGCCGCTGACGCCGTCGCAGGAGACTGCGCGGTAAAGCCGTCGGCACCGCACGAGGATCCACCTAGCGTTCACCGCTCGCCAAGCGGCGGCGCCAAGCCCGGCCCGCGGCGCTGGCGGCCGGTGGTGCTGGTGCCTGCGCAGACGTCTCTGAGACTTGAGGACTTTAAACAATACGGCGCCGTAGCAGAAGCCGCAGCTGACCGTAACCAGCGCCTCCAGCGCCGTCAGGGCCAACAATACGGGGGAAGAGTGTATAATGGTGACGCAGAGAACCGGCTCGGCCAGCGGCGTCCGCCGCCGCCAGCGGACGGCACTCGAATATCCCGAGCAATGCCAGCGGGATGGCCAGCGCGGTGGCCAGCAGAGGTGGCACGGCGCCGGCGACCAGCAGCGCGCCACGTCCCTGCGACACGTGCACGTCCAGCACGACCTTCAACAGGCGCAGCACTGCCACGGCCATGTAGCACGCCAGCGAGCTCAGCTGATGCCAGAGCAGCGAGATAGCGTGCATCCAGCACAGCCAGCGCCGGCCGCTGAGTGCGTCACCGACCAGCGGCACCATGAACAGCAGCAGCGCTATGTTGGAGACGGTCAGCGCTGCCAGCGCCGCGTTGATAGCCGTGTGGAAGCGCTCCTGGAGTGCGATCGTCACCGCCAGCAGGCTGTTGAGCGCCAGGCCCGTAGCGATGAGCGCCACCGCGACGGCCGCGTTCACCATGTACAGCACGCTGCCCCGCTCGTCGGGCCGCTCGCACGTGAGGTCGCCGCCAGATACGTGGCACGTCAGGTTGGCCACCGCCGCCGCCAGACACGTGTCCGAGTCGGACGCGTTCGCCATGGCCGACGACCGACCGGCGGGGATTGGCGTCCAACGACGACGACGCCGGTAAGAGACAGAGTTTGGCAGTCAGGAGCTGCGCAGGCGCGGCCACAGCCAGTGGGAGCCGTCGTAGATGGTGCGTTTGGGGGCGGGTCTTATTAGACATCAGTTTTTTTTTTTAGGACGGGGGGAAGTGTTGGGCACTGTGTGATTGCTTTTCGGCGTAGTTCCGGGCCTCCTCGGCCTCCGTCCCAGCGTCGTGGTCGGTGCAACATCGCCGCTTGCCCAGCCTGCGCTGCCGTCTGGCCTGATACAGCTTCGTCTCGCGTCTTCGAGATTTCGCTTCTTTCTTACGACCTACAAGGCTTAGTTCATCGTACTCCAGACTCTATTCCAGCCTCTTCTTCCCTTGTTTATTTGTCCTCTCGCTGGGGTATGTTTTTGCGGTGTTAACGACCGACGCTCCGGCCCAAAGATCGTGCTATATGACCGCACTTTTGGGCCGGAGTTTTTTCGCTGTCCTATCTGGATTTACATTCCAACCCACACCCGGCCTTCGGCCGGCGCTGACCACATCACACACCAGTTCGATACCTCCTCTGGCCGCACCTCACCGCCATGTTGCCTGGCCCGCCCGACCCTTTCGAGCCGCCCATTAGCCGTGGGCCATTCGCCCCTCCCCCCCCCCCCCTTTACTTGTGGTTCGCGCTCATCAAGCACGAAGACGGCAAATCTCTCAACACGATTGATGTTGATGTTATGATGACTCAACACACATTCTCTCAACACGAAATCATGGCTCAGCGGGTCCTGGGAGTTTTACGGCTCCATTCTCCCCGGCCGGAGCTGTGGCCCAACCCCACGCTCCGGCAACGTTTCCAAAGCAGGGTGGTCCTGGCCCACCTCCCAAGCGGGTACCAAAGGTGCCCGTACGTCCGTGGGTACCTGCGCCTCAACAGTGCGGGCACTGCCAAAAATTTGAGCACAGTGCCTGCGCGTGCCGCGTCCGCCGCCCGGTGCGCGGCGTTTTCCCTGCCCGGCACAGCACTCGAGAGCGCGGTGACGAAAAGCCCCGCTTGTGCTCTAGCGGCCCCACTGGAGCCCAATCCTACAACGGTAATTAGATTAAGGGTCAATTCCTGACACCTGGCGCTCTAGCACTCTAGTAGATAGATTATCTCCATACTTGAGCCTAGGAAGCATTCGTCCGACTCTTTGAACAATCGCCCTTTCTTTCTACTTAGCCGGGCATCAAGACTATTTGCACCAATGGATCAACGGTCGCAGCGGAGTGCTCTTGGAATTTCATGACCTCCTCTCCCCATTCTAAAATGGCATTCGTCCTGGCCGCTCCACGGTGGACAGCCTTGTTCAGATTGTCGACTCCGTACAACTCGGTTTCCACAATAAAATGGTTGCTGTTGTACGATTCCTGGACCTGAAAGTCACATTTGACAAAGCAAACAAAACAGGCCTTGTCTTTAAACTGTAAAAGATGGAGTCCGCGGCTGACTCACTTGATTTATGAAAACTTCCTCACAGACCGGACATTGCAGTCAGCTGTGGGAAATGTCGATCGCCGCATAAAGCGCAAAATCATGAACTTCCTCAGGGCAGTGTGATCTCGCCAACCCTTTTTTCACAATATAATGATCGACGATGCATTCCAAAATATTCATAACGCATCTCTTCGCCTTCAATTCTCCCCTTGTGCCGACGACATGCCCGTGTGGTTTGCACATTCCAGCGTCGGTCGAGCTAACCACCTCATTCAACTTGCACTAAATCACATTCAAGAATGGTGTGATCGGCGGGGCCTCCAGATTTCTCCACCTGAATCAGTAGCGCTCATTTTGATCAGGGAACCCTGTTCACCTCGCTCCGAAGAACCCTTCGAAAGTTTGGGGTGAAGTCATCCTATTGGTAACTACATTCATATATTGCGACATCACTCTGAATCCCCGGCTCACCTTTGTCCTTAGCTTTCAGGACCTTAAGGGGCTTTACGCACGTCGTGTCAATATCCTAAAATGTCTTGCCGGGCGCGGAGTGAGGCGCCGACAGGCGCACACTCCTGCACCTGTACATAGGCCTGACCCGACCATCTTGGATGCCTTCATCTTAAATGGTATATCTTGCACCAAAAAAATCGAGTCGCTCGAGGCCCTCCAGAACGCAGCGAGAGGAGCCACCACGGGCTTCCTCCACGCCTACCCATCCTCAGCCTGCTGACGGACGCAAACGATAACCCCTTTCCTACGGTGGTATGCGTCCGTGTCCAGGATGAAGGACGCTGGGTTGCCTTCAAATGGAGGCAAAGTCGCCACTGATGCCGAGGTCAGCACGTCCTTCAGCCTGATGAATGTTGCTTCAGCCTCGGGCGACCAGTGAAATGGCGCATGTTTTTGTATCTGTCGTGTCAGTGGTGCAGTAGCCTTGGTAAAGTTGACCATGTGGCGGCGAAAGTAACCAGCCAATCCCAGAAGGCTAAGCAGCTCCTTTTTGGATCTGGGCACTGGCCAGTCCATCACTCTCTGCACCTTTTCTGGGTCGGGGTCGATTCCGTCTCTTGAGACTCGGGAACCCAGGTTGTTGTTTGTTTGTTATTTGTTTGTTGTTGTTATTTGTTTGTTTGTTTGTTACCACTGGTCGGAACAGCTGGCATTTTGCCGGGTTTAGAGAAAGGCCTGCGCTGCTGAGGCGCTTGAGCACTTCTGGAGTCGCCGCAGGACCTGACTGACCGAGTCGCCGTGGACAACGATACCGTTGAAGTATGCCAGACAAGTCATCGGCGCCAGTCCGTCCAGCACGACGCTGAGGAGCCGGGCGAACGAGCTCGACGTCGACGAACGAGCTCGAGGCGAACGAGCTCGACACCCTGGCCAGACCGCAGCTGCAGCGCCGCCAGGCACACAGCGACCTCCGACTTCCTGGGCGACCTCCATCTAATGATGCCCAGACTCCAGGTCCAGGAGGCAGAGCATGGAGGAACCAGCCAGATGCTCAAGGGCTTCATCAACTCTGGCCACCGGATGGGCCGGGACCTGGGTGATGCTGTTCATCCTGCGCATGTCGGCACAGATACGCAGTCCGGCCGCACCATGTTTGCGAATCACTCGACTGGCCCGGGCACCATTACTCGCCTCCAGGATACCTTTCCCACCAGGTTACCTATTTGAGCTTTAACCTCGCCTCTGACGTGGGACGGGATGCGTCTCGGCGCCTGCCTGAGAGGCTGATGGTCGCCCGCTGGAATGCCGTGCTGGGCTGAATGCTGAGCTGGGCCCACCAGCGTGGTGGGCCCCACTCGCCCGTCAAACAGATGTTGGTAAGGTGTCAGCAATTTTGCTGTCCGTGTCCTTTCCGGCTCCGTCAGCTTCCGCTGGGCTTTCGATCGGCGGCATTTCGGAGCATTGCTTCTCTGATGCGGCAGTCGCATACCTCTGTCCGATCACTATCTCTGTGTACATATCAAAAGTCGGGTCGAACGATCTCATTCTGTGTTTTCTCTTCACCGTTACAGATCGTTGTAACGTATTTCTCAAAACTACCGGGAGGGGCTGACCAGGCTGAGCCCGCATTACAGCAGGTACGCTCAGCAGGCCCGTATCTCCGTCACCTCCGACCAACGCTGGACCCACAGAAGACTCGTCATCGTCATTACATTCAATGACGCATTCCGCCCCGGCGGCACAGACCTGTCCCGCCGTCCTACCACGCGGCACACCGACGGGCCCTGCCGGCGGCTGCGGCTCCCACTCTGCGTTTGCCTGGACGGGTCGGCTCTGGTTACTCGCTGATGACCCGTTGTGCTTGACCCACGAGAGGTGCTGGCCCAACCGGGGTTGTTTTCGCGGAGTCCGGGTCTGAGTCAGCTGATGGGCCGGCGCCGACTGCGCCGGCGACGGAAACACGAGACGGCGGAACGCGACATCAGTCAAACAGCGGTACCGTTGGGAAAGTGCCGCCTCAAAACGCGGTCAGTGTCCCGGATGTGGTTGCTGAAGAACTCTCCTCAGTGGCCATAGGACTCGGGCAGGGCAGTTACAACGGAGGCGGTTGGAGGCGAATCCCAGAAGCCTGACTGGTGTTTTTTATGCTGATTCGGCTGTAATTGCTACAAGGTCTGCAGTGGCATTGAGCAATTAGCTAAGATTGTGCCTGGTATGAGAGAGATAGAAGAGGACCTGCACTGCGGGGGACACCCGGGGCGGCATTCGCCGCCTCGTGCCGGATTCCCCCTGGCGCGTTTCCCGAGCTCGTCGTTTGACGGTAGGCCTGTTGGAGGTGGTTCGGTCTGTTGCAGCCGTGACAGACCCCGTTTCGGTGCCGACAGTCGGCTCGTAGGTGACCGGTAGCATCACACGTGTAACAAAGGCGATTGGCGGCGTGGGGAGAATACCGGCGACCGTTGCTCCGGGACGGCGCGACTCGTTTTGCTACATCTGCAGCTGAGAGATACGGCGTAAGATCTGCTGCCGGATGTTCTCAGAGGCGGTCGCTTGAACGTTCTTGTTGGTTGCAGCGACCGGCTACAAAGGCAGAGCTTCAGCAGACGGCAGGTGGTCCACCTTAATTACGGCCGCGTCATAATTGACGATTCCAACGAGTGCATGACAGAACCTAGCTGGAAGGACAAGGAGCAGATAGTTGAGTGGTAGGTCTTTGCTGGGACCCTGTTGTCCGGGCAGCGCCTTCTGCAAGTTGTGCGATAAGCTGACCAGGATTCAACCGAAACTGGTGGCGGAGGTCCACCCTCATTTGAGACAGTTGAATATGCTGAGCGACCGGGTTGAGACGCACAAAGAAGTTTCTGAGAGTTGTTTCGGCGGATTCGGGAGTTTCTCGCTGCTCCTTTGACAGTGAGCTGAATGCCAGCTTGGCAGCGCCGTCCAAACACGGAGGAATAACTGATAAGACCTGTGCGTCTGTCCATGCTGGGGCTTGCAACACCACGAAAGACTTGATGTCAGCGATGAACGCGGACACCGTTTGGCCCACACCACTGGATCGGGGAAATGGGATTTGGATGCTGGAGGATACCATGGTGGGTGGAAACGAGACAATACAAGATTCGTTCGTATCCGAGCTCATACAAGTACCTAGCACCTAGCTAAAATAAAACCGTAGCATTAGCAAAATGATCACAAAATTTGTTATCACCGAGCTTAGAACACGACAGCTGTACGATTAATTCATAAGCGACAAGTGCAAGACATAACAATCACGACTGGTTGGGGCCGTTCCGTGCGCAGCAGGAGAGGGGGGGGGGGAGGGGGATCTTGGGAGCTGCAGTCGGACCTTGGGCATAGGTTTGTTCCCTTGCTAACTCTGCGGCGACTGTAGCCAATGTAAAAAATCCGCCGACGTTCTTTTTCTTCTCCAATTTCACGTCACCAAATATCAAGAACCGTCTGGTAAAAAATAAGGAACGGCACGGAAAATGCGGCACGACAAAGCAGACAACGGGGCCGTTTGGTTATCATAAAACACTTTGAGTTCATTCCTGGCGCAGTGCTGCGCCATAATTGTAAAGAGGCGACAAATTTTACGTCAGATAAAAACGCTACCTTTCCCCGACGTTTTTGTCCAGTAAGGTATAACGCTCGCGTATTCCGAGTGAGAGGTGAGCTATTTGAGATGAGAAATGAAACCAATAGTGCTTCAAAATTGCCCAACCATGTTTTTATGCAATCTCCTGCACCCCATGTCTCTTAAGTTTTGTTGTGGGGAGAGCAGTAGTAAGACACCGCCTTGTTTTATTTTGTTTGTTTAGTACGACACCGCCATTTGGTTTGGATGACATCATGGAACATTCCAGTTGTAAGATAAAACTCTGTGCTTGTTGTAAAATCGATTCCAAATCAAAAGCCAATAGCTTGAGCCCCTTGACCAATAAAGATGAGCCAGTATTGGCATTCACTGCAAACAAAAGCACCTTGAACTTTGTAGGTTATGGTTATATTGCACAACATGCTTGATATAAACAATGTGTGACCTTACATCATGCAGATAACCACACTTTTCACGACAGGAAGCTGGCTACCATATTCCCTAGAGTTGTGATGCAATGACACAACTAGATCCATTTTCATGATTGAATAGGAAAATTATAGCTGTTGTGAATATTGTGCAAAGCTTAAAGTGATTACACTGTTAACAACATTCACAGTTTACAGCAGTGTGTTCAAAAAGCAAGAATAGGTGTAATGTTTTCACTGTCAGGCAGTGCTGAAACCATTAAGCTGATTCAATCTACAGTATTGTTCACACAAGTAATGCCACATGTGATAACAAGAAAATATAACACGTTATGAAATGGAATTGAAAACCCGCTGACCTTGCGCAAGCGTGTCAGAACTTGCTTGTCTGCGTCATATGCCGGTTTTGGAACCCTACCGTATTTTACCTTAAGTTCTTTCCAAAATTGTCCCAACAGGGGGTTGAAGGCGTGGGTGTAGGAACAGGAAGGGCCAGGGGGCCATGCCCCCCCCACTTTTCAAGGGGGGGGGCAGCAATGTTAGCTGACCCCTGCCTCACTTTTCACATTAAGGTTGCGTTTAGCTTACTTTTGCAGCACATTACACATACATCCTGATTTTCCTAGCCCACCAGCCATCTTCCTCAAGCAGTGAGCTAGAATTGCTTTTGAACTAGGGTGGGAGTGAAAAATTCCATCGCAAAAAGACCGTGCAGGAGTGAAAAAATCAGTTCACAAAAGATGGAATCTATGAGCTCGTGACTGATGCTTCAGCAAACGAAGACATCTATGTCAAGTTGGCATGGACGTAATGTCATGAACCTGACAACACTTTTTTGTTTTTGACATCTTAAACTGTTAAAGTGAAACATAATACATTAAAGCATAGTAATTTCATGGCAGTGCACTGAGCATAAACAATTCTTAACACCAATAATTTCATGCTGTACATTGCACTTCCCTTCCACAGCACTTTAACACAAAACAAAGCAAAGGAATTTAATAACAAAATAACAGAAAATTCAACAAACATAAAACGCTCAAGCAAAAAAAACCTTGGATTCCTAAGCGATGTACTACCATGTACGGTAGCCGTCCTATATTTTAGTGGCGGTGTCCCTTTCATATCGTTGGCTTTCGGTGGCGCATAACGCTTGTATATTGCCGCATGACACGGGGGTCTGAAATATAGACGAAGAGCTCGAGCAGAGTATATGGCGTTTAAGACCAATTACTGATAAATAAGACTCGGACACGATACCACATCGTATACCTCAGCCCATCATCAAGTCAAACACAATAGACATACCTCTGCTTTTAAGATAGGGTCAGGGGGAACAAATAATTTTCACTGTTTCTTACAAAATACCAATGCTTATTCCATGAAAGTAGCGTAACTACGCCTAACGTAAAGAGGCCCTACTTCATCTCATCCTCTCTATCCTGTTTCTATCACAGCAGCAGTTGTGCGTTACTGATTCTTGAACAATTCTTATTGCCACTTGCCATGCGCATAACCAACTTAACCTAACTTAGAGTATCCCATATGCTGCACATCATCTTAAATCACCTATCTGTTGACAGCAGCACTTGTGATAAAAACATGATATAGGTAATTTTTGGCTGGTTTCAACTTACCTTTTTATTCAGTTTATTTGTGTGTGCTTGTTAACATCAGACAAAGTTGACAACACACAAATCAAAATGTTTGAAATCACTTTGAACGACTTATTTTGATTGCCATGGTCAACCTATGTCAGGGGCAATAAAAGGTATGCTCCACAAAACAATCTCTCTTCTCCAAAAGTAACGTAACCTTTAGATGACCATACCAGTATAGCTGCTTGCCTTTTCACCTGCAGTAAAGGCATCTATTTAGGCTTGTGTATTCATATTTAATGACAAAATTTGACATGGTGGCTGCACATTTTAAATGGGATGGTCTGACTGTTTGTGACATACCAATATTGAACTCATATCATAATTGCTATGCAGCTTAGAGCATCCTCGTGTTAAAAATATATTGCATATATACAGTACAGTCATTTGCCAGCCACCAAACCATGACAACTCTAGAAAACATCTGGTTAA